AAAAGGGCAGGCTTCTCAGGGATATCAAATGAAGATGGCATAACACACTTACAATGACATGGCACAAACTCTCATATCAGGGCTGGGTGAGGCAACCCACTAGGAGGAAAAGGCTCTCAAGGGTAGGCAAAAGAGTCAGACTCCTCTCCATTCCCACTGTTAGGAGTCCCACAAGAACATCAAGCTGACAACCATAACATAATTTGCAGAGGACCTGATGTGGAACCATTCAGGCTCCATGATTGCTGCTTTAGTCTCTGTGGGCCCCTTCAACCTGCTTAGTTAATCCTGTGGGCTGTGTCAACCTGGTGTCCTTATCCCCTCTGGCTCATATAATTTAGAGGGAATATGGGACGAGACAACTAGAATTGGAGGGGACTTGGGGCAATGGGGAACCTAGTACAGTAGAAACTCCCAGGATTCTATGAGGGTTACCCTAGTGAGGACTCCTATTAATGGAGGATACAGAGCCTGAACCAGCCATCTTCTATAACCAGCTAACTTCCAGTGGTGGGATTGGGACACCAACCCAGCCACAAAACCTTCAACCTATAATCTATCCCACCTGCAAGACATTCCATTTCTTTTTTAATTTTAATTAGAAACAAGTTTGTTTTACATGTCAATCCCAGTTCCCTGTCCCTCCCCTCCTCCCCTGCCCCCTATTTCTCCCCATACAATCCCCTTTCTGCTCCCCAGGCCTTCCATGAGGTATCTTCAAAGTCTGTCATATCATTTGGAGCAGGGCCTAGGCCCTCCACTGTGTGTCTAGGCTGAGAGAGTATCCCTCTATGTGGAGTGGGCTCCCAAAGTCCATTTGTACACTAGGGATAAATACTGATCCACTACCAGAGGCCCCATAGATTGCCCAGGCTGTCTAACCGACACCCATGTTCAGGGAAGATATTTCTAAAGATAGTGAATTCAGTTTGTGGAAATGCTTGATGAAGATGAGATCCAGCATGGTTTCATGTAGAGATGTATGTCTATGGCTCGGTGATATGAGTCATATGAGTTTGCTGGGACTTGGTGAACAGCAGAGAACAAGCCTGTTTAAGAGGAGAGTAGTATGTGCAATTGTATCCTCTAGAAATCTCCCTTCTTAGGGACCCTATTCCTCCACACCTATCTATCAAGGGCTCACTGAAGTATCCCTCACTAAGTGCTATCCTAAGACACAAGACAATTACCTCAAGGTTTTTGCTCATTCCTGTAGTGGGTGACTGCTAAGACAGATAGATGAGAGAATACAGAGATTAGGTGTCTGTGTCTTAGTGTGGGACAGTCTGAGGCTACTTCAGAGCTCCTCATAAGATTGGCAATCTTAGAGAAAAGCACATTCAGGGCATATTTTCTCTGAACCACATTTTCCTTTCACTTTCTCATACTGAATCGTCTATGAGCAGATTCCAGTCGACCTTTGGCCTGCCACTCTCTGTCTCAATTCCTAAAAACAATCTGAGACAATGGATTAGAAACCATTCAGTTTTGTTGATTTCTGTCATGTACAGAGACTCTGTCAGATCTTGATTTTGAAGAGATGAAACTGTAAGTGAAATACAATGATCTGTGTAGATCAACAAGAAATTCAAATGTAAAGGATGACATCTGAATAAAACAGGGAAAATATATGGGTTGGATACAGTGAATGGCCATGAGTTGAGTTTTGAAATCAGTACATGTGAAGTTGATGCTTCTTTACCATTTGCTGAGGAGGAAACCTGGGCATTTAATATGTAGATGAGAGTGGAGAAAGTGGAAGAAATTAAAAAAAATTGACCTTGGTACCACATTTAAGTAATACTCATTTTTCTTCTATTCAAACCTCAAAGCAGACGTCTAGATTTTAATGAGCATTACAGGTAGAGCAGATTTCTCCCTCCCATTAGTTCTTTGGAATTCTTCCCAACGTGGTCAGAAAGTTGAGATGTCCCCATTCCTGTGCAATAAGTAACATTACATACTCCCATTCATTTCCACAAATGGTCTAGTTTGCAAAATACACATCTCTTTGGTAGAGGAGTCAAAGCTACTTACCTGTCTGGGTGTCTTATCCCAACCCCTGCCCCATGAATGAAGCCTTTAGACAATCAAGATGGGAGGCACTGCCTTCTAAAGAATGAAATTCATTAGGAGTAGCATTTATTTTTCTCCTGCAAGTTGAGCTCATCTCCTGTGGCCCAGTGCAGTAATCTGACCCATTACTTCTTTTCAGGGGAATAGTCTTCACACTCACTTCACAGTTTAAACCAATTTGATTTTACTACTAATTTGCCTTATTTGAACTTGGATCTGCTGAGGTAGTTCAAGCTGCTTCCAAACACTTGCTGCCTCATTAGCTGATAACTGTGCTCTAATGGCTTTCAGACCAAACGAGGGCTTCCAGGGTGTTGGGCACTGGTTTGAAACTGTTCTTTGCAAACCCAAGGAAAGGAAGCCAAGATTGCATTTAATTCCATCCTTTGTTAGCTTTGGGATATTTAGCACTTATTTAAATGAAGCTGTAATTATTTTCAGTGGTGCTTATTGATGGGAAGTCTCTGGGCAAATAGACTGAAGCCATCTCATGGCCTGTCAGATAATTGACGAAGTGCCTAGCAAGGGAGGCCTTTTCTCTACAACAATTCCATGGGTTTATTTCAGGTTTTGATGAATTTTAAAGCCATGAGAATACATGGTATAAACCTGTGTTTGTGTGTGTGATTGTGTGTATTTGTATGTACATGTATATAACGCCCTCCCGTATCTGTATATACCTCATGTATATGCATATATGTATACATTTATAAATACACTAAGATCTGACTTCTTTCCTAATTTCTGTTGTATAGATTATAAATTTTTGTGTGGATAGCATCCACTCAGCCATCTCAACAAGTCACGAGTCCTAAGTATTAAGGTTTGAATCTGACACATTCTCTACAACTTCATGTTTTGAGCTCTTGTTCCCAGCTGGTGGCACTGCTCTGGTGGCACTGCTTTCACGGACCACGAAACATTAGAAGGCAGGGCCTAACTAGTGGAAAAAGTCACTGGGGCAGGATTTTGAAAGCTGTAGCTGTCCTGTTGTTCTGGCTTCTCTCTCTGCCTCTTGGCGGAGATGCGAATGACCTCTGCCTCCTGTCCTTGTCACCATGGATGGGTCTGCTCCACCACACCTTCCCTGCCACGACAGACAGAAACTTCTGAAGCCATGAGCCAAATCAAATCTTTCCTTGATTACATTGTTCTGTCAGGTATTTTTGTCACACTGACTCAAAAGGAACTAAGATGCTGAGCAAATTGGGGCTCTTTTAGGCACAAAAGGAACCAAGGTATGTGTTGAGGCCATTATAGTTTCTCTAAAGAGGTTCAGAAAAGAACCAATAACTCTTACTCACTGTCTAACCCTGATTCTGACTCCATTCTTTGTTCTTAGGAACTCATTACCCCACCTCTGACTCTCCCAGGACAGGCAGATGGACTACTTTCCAACCTTAAATGCCATCCTAGAGCCTTCATCCAGTCGCTGATGGAAGCAGAAGCAGACACCCACAGCTAAAGCACTGAACTGGAATCCAGTTGCAGAGAGAGAGGAGTGATGAGCAAAGGGGTCAAGGCCAGGCTGGTGAAACCCATAGAAACAGCTGACTGAAACAAGGGGAAGCTCATGGATCCCAGACTGATAGCTGGGAATCTAGCATAGGACTGATCCAGATCCCCTGAACATGGGTGTCAATGAGGAGGCCTAGGCAATCTATAGGGTCTCTAGTGGTAGATCAGTATTTATCCCTAGCAAAAGAATGGACTTTGGGAGCCCATTCCACATGGAGATCCCTAAACAATCCAGGCCGATGCCAGGACAGAAACTGTCCAAAAACTGACAGTGGGGCCCCATTGTGGAGGGCAACATTCACACAGTTCATTGAATATAGAGAGGCCAAGGTGGTGCTTTCATGGAGACTTTACTCCTATGTTCTAGTCTCTTTGGCATGGAGAGGCACTCTGAAAGTTATGGAACGACAAACCTGGACCATAGCCACAAAACCTTTGACCTACAATATTTTGCCTGAAAGATGTGCTGGGGGCAATGATGGCACAGAACTTGTGGGAGTGGCCAACCAATATCTGGTTAGCCTAAGGCCCATGCCATGAGAGAGAGCCCATGCCATACATTGCCTGCATGGAGTTAATAGCCCAAAGACCTTGGGTAGAAAAATAGGAGAAAAATGAATCAATGAAATGATTCCTAATGATATTCTGCAGTACTCATAGATTGGCACCTTTTCCAGTTTTCATCACAATGACATCCCCTAGCAGCAGATGAGGGAGGGTACAGAGACCCACAGCCAGTCCTTGTGCAGAGAGAGTCTAAATTGGAGGTCTCTGTTGGGTCCTTCCTGTCAGAACTCAGGGAATCCCTTGGAAGAGGGGAGGAAATATTGTGGGAGTCAGAGGGGATGGAGGACACCAGGAGAACACGGCCAACTGAATCAACTAAGCAGGGCTCATACGGGCTCACGGAGACTGAAGAGACAAAGGTGGGGTCTGCATGGGACTGTTCAAGGTCCTCTGCATGCATGTTATGGCTGTTAGCTTGGTGCTTTTATGGTATTCCTAACAGTGGGAATGGGTGTGTCTCTGATTCATTTGTCTGATCTTGGGACTCCTTTCCTCCTATTGGGTTGCCTTGTCCATCCTCAATATGAGAGCTGTTGCCTTGTCTTATTGTATCTTTTTTTTGTCGTGTTTGGTAGTTGTCTCTTGGAGGCCTGCTCTTTTCAGAAGGGAAGTGGAGGGAGAGTGGAACTGGGGGAGAAAGGTGGTGGGGGGATTTGGAAGGAGTTGAGGGGTAACCATGGCTGTGATATATTATATGAGAGAATAATCTATTTTCAATGAAAAAAGACAGAGGAAAGAAAAAATAGTCTCAAATAATCTAGTCATGCATATCAAAGTAGGTTGGTAAAACCTTACCAAGTGTCTCCTAACATTTATGCTGAAGTTAACCCTCTCTCTAGTTCTAGCATTGTGGAATTTCCATTTGGGATGAAGGAGAGAAGGAGTTGTGTCTCAAGAGGCTTCTCTGTGTTCCCCTGTGGGTAAGAACATTAAATTTGAAAGATATTGCTGAATAGCAGCTCCAATCCAATAATCACATTCGTTTGTTTTGATTTTCCCTGGAGTTTTGATTGGATGGGGGCATCATTACTTCTTGCCCTGAAGCTGCCTCACTTCATCATGGAGGAAATGAATTGAGCTGGTAGGTGGCTGACTCGGGGTTGTTACTTTTTGATTTTCTATCTTTATATCCTTGGCCTCTGGTGGGATTATTCTACTATCAAGGAAAAAGTATTTACAGAGAGCCTTGGGTCAGGCAAGGAGGAGGCTCTGCTTCTTGGCAGTCATTGGTGGCTGTGGTATTCTGTGGAAAAACAATAAATAACCTATGAGCTGCCTTTCTACAGTGAAGGGTTGAGTGTTTTATATGATCCTTTGTTTTTTCCATGTAGTTTCCTTTCATTCTCCATTGATTAGATCGCAATGAATACTTAAAAAGAAACTTGGTTTGTAAACCACTCTATGCATTCTAAAAGGTTTAAAAAAATTCAATAATGAGCTTGCATGTGCACCTGAGAGAGGGTTTGGATATGCGAATGCAGTGCTTCTACAGGCCAAAGGCATAGATAGCATCTACCTAGAGCTGGAGTTACAGATGGTTGTGAGCCACCCAGTGTTGGTGCTGGGAGCAGAGCTCAGGCCATCTGAAAGAGAAGTAGGTGCTGTTAACCAGTGGGCCATGTCTGTGGCCCCCAGTTCTATGAAGTTCAGTGCCAAGCCTAAATAGAAACTTAGCTTGAACCTGTCGTATTGAGTTAAGCTTCATTGTCTCCTCCTGTCACTGCTGCACTCAGAACCTGCATTTCAGAAGAGGTGTCTGGAATTGGAGCATGACCTTGCTGGTCATTACTTTAAAAAATCTTGGTCTAGCGTCAAGAGTTGGAGGAATGTTTGTGATATATATATATATATATATATATATATATATATATATATATATTTCTTTTCTCATGGAGAAATGTTAAAGATTTCATTTCATCAGTTAGAGGCAGTGGTGCAGAAAATAGATTGTTGCTGTGACGAACTGTTAACTACATTTGTACATATGGAAGCCTTTAATGTGTTCCTGAATAGGAAGCTAGGTGACTTACCACATTTCCATGAATGCGGTCCTCAGGTGGTGGATGGTGGGCAATATCTTACATTATTAAAGTACAGTTCCTTTGATTTACAAGTAAGTATGCACTATTAATACACAGAATTGCATTTAAACATCAGTTACAAACATTTTTTCTTGACTTTTCATTTATTTGACCAACAAGATATAGGCTTTGTATTGTGTATTAATTATATTATTAAGAAATTGTTCAGCTTTGGGTTTTGTTCTTAATCTAGAATTTAGACAAAATGAGGATGGGCAGCTTATGGTTTTGAAAAAGGAGAGGTCAACTAGGACAAAAGTGTAACATTTTTGGTTGAAGAAATGTAAATGTATATGTATACTGTAAATGGAAATTTAATTTTTTTCAGATAATACTAAAAAGTGACTTTGTGATGATCTGATTGATTACAAGGCTGTGAGTCTTCTTCTTGAGACCCAGAGACTTCTCCCCTTTTCATTTCTTCCCTGATGTTAAGAAGATGCTGAAACCAAATACGATTGTCTCTTCAAAGACTGTAGCCATTAGCAAAGCACAACTGTCCCTCCTCCTGTCTTTCATGCTTAATCCATTTCTGTAAGAACAAAATATAGCACTAACTGTTTTGATTTGACAGACTCAGAAGCTCCTATTCTAGCAGGAGGGTTAGATTAAACAGGAATAAAGTTGATTAGATGAATTTTTGTAAGCAGATCACACTGGTTGGGTACTGAGAGGTTGGGAACCCTAAGGTTGGCTTCCTTAGGCGTCCCAAGGATCATCACATTTTCTTTCTTTCATAATGTTGCAACACACTCCTTCGCCAAATCTTCCTATTTTTTGTTTGTCCAGAACACATTTAATAGGATTTATATCTTGCTAGTATGTGTGTGTACATGCAACAGTCCCATACTTGTTAATTTTCGTCAACATGACACAAAGTTAATTGGGAAGAGGGAACATCAATTGAGAAATTGCCACCATTAGATTGTCCCGTGGGCTCGTTTATGGGCATTGGGCACTTTCTTGATTAATGATTGATATAGGGCCCAGCCTACTGTGGATGATTCTGCCTCTGGGAATTGTGTAAGAAAGTAGGCTGGACAAGCCACAGAAAGCAAACAACACAAGCAGCATTCCTCCATGGCCTTTGTTTCAGTTTCTGCCTCCAGTTCCTGTGTTGGGTTCCCTCATGGATGGAGTGTAATCTGAAAGATGAAGTACCACCTGCCATTAGTTTCATCACAGAAACAGAAACAAAGCTAGGGCAGAAATTGATACCAGAGAGTAGGAGCTTGCTACAATAGGCCTGACCATGTGACAGTTTCTCTATTCATTCATCTATTGGTGAACACTTGGATTGTGAGCAATACTGGTTAGTGTTCTTCCTTTATTATAAAATCTTATTTTCTGCTTTGTGTAACAGAAAATGTATGTTTAAAATTTGGCTAAACAGTTGAAAACCTATGCTACTCCCTTTATTTTACATTGTTTCCTTCCTCCCTTTTTACTTTTGTGGGTCTAGTCCACTAATCATCAGCTTTGCTACTTGCATTAGTATAGTAATTTCCTGTTATCTTTCCTCCCTACTATTTTTACTGTTCCAAATTATTAGGTTGAGACATACAGATACAGGATGAGCATATGCCATGGTTTTCTTTTTCAAATCCCAGTTTAATTTTACTTTCCTGTCATAATTAACAATTATTCACCATTTTAATCTGAAATTGTCTCAGACTGAATACTAAAGTATATGTATACATTTGAATGTGCATGGTAAATGAATATTTTAATCACTTTTGCTACCATCTCCTTATATGTATACATCCATGAGAATGCCTTTAGTTATTTCCTTTTTTTACAGCACTTAAAAATAATCTCTATGGGTTAGACTGATGGCTCAGGAGTTAAGACAATTTACTGCTGGCTTTGCAGATAACTGGGTTATATTCCCCAAACCCACCAGGTGGTTCACAGCTGTCTATAACTGTAACTCCAGGGCTCTCTGTCTGTAACTCCAGGGCGCTCTCTCTCTCTCTCTCTCTCTCTCTCTCTCTCTCTCTCTC